GTTGCCTAGATAACAGAACTGAACCCTGAAATTTGCAGCTGCTGAATGGGTTGTAGAGTGGAGCAACAATTAAGCTGCAGGCCCGAATGCGTAGATCACCATCTCATGCTTTTCATGCTTCGAACTTACAAAATATGCACTCCGAAAATTCTGTTAATGGTGACATAATTTTAATGTTTCACCCACAGCGCTTTTAGGCACAAACAAAAATGATTGAACAAGAGAATTGCAAGACCTTTCATGGTATTTTTAATGCAAGCCAACAGATTGAATAAACCTGAAGATATAGCAGCTCAGAGTTCAAAGTTTTCACCTTTTAAGTGCCGCAGGAAGTTACATTTTGAGGCGCTGGAAAAACTGTTAGCTGATGATCAATGCTGTGACTCCCACACTGATGCACTCCTTGCTAATCCTTAGCTAAAGGGATTTGCCTTTGCCCACTGCATTTTCAGTGATTTTTGTGCAGCTCTTTGCATTTTTTGGTTCTGCTGAGTTTCACCTTCAATTAGTGGGCAAAAAGGGAGTGCGGCGAGCGGCTTTAAATGAATTTAAATAAATGTTCACACCATATTAAGCATAATCCGAGGCAGTGTCAGCCCCTCTGGACTTGCTGACTATCCAGAGGACTGTCCACCGTCCACTGTCCCCCCTGCAGCCTGGACTGTCCTTTGTTCTGGTGTCTCGCTGCCCCGAAGTGTGTGTGTGTGTGGGTTTTTCGGGGGTTTGTGTGTGAATTTGCAACTTAATTGAGTAAATGTGGTCATCAGTTGCATTTCGTTGAAGTTTTGCCAGCCAGCGAGGAAGGGAGGCAGGATGCAGCAGGGGGATGGCATTGCCTTCGGGCAAGTGTGCGCAACTGTACCGGAAATGAGGACGAGCAGTTGCCGCTAAGCAGCTTAAGCACACCAACTGAATGCCACACACACACACACAGACAGTGCAGCATGCAGCAGGTTGTGTGACCATCGACATAGAGCCAGCCGCTCGCTCAACCTTGCTCCAAAGTACGAACTTTGTGGCCTCCATTGGAATCAGGCTTCCATGCCAGCACCCACCCAGCCACCAGCCAACAGCCCCCCCCCGCCCAAAAGCCAGTCGCCTGCACTGGCATAAAACTAGAAAACAATTAATGCAGGCTACAACAAATATGTAATGTCAGTCAGTCATAGAGGAATAGCAGCAGCATAGAGGAATAAAAGTCGCTAGAATTTTATTCTTTTGGTGTATTTTTTTTCGGGTACAGAATTCAGTTTTTGCCTGCCTTTAATCCACGCACTACTCGCACCATAAAAACAAATGGAGACCAATCCAAAAGTAGACCTAATGCAGCACTTGGCAGAGTTTTGTTGCAGTGTAGTGGCTGCTGGCTGCCCAAATTACAAAGCAAATTTGCATGCATGCGGTGACCCTGGGCGGATTGCATCGGACGGATGGTTGAAGCCTTCTGGGCATCTCCAGAAAACTGATGGCAGCGGGAGCCATGGAGCCAAAAGGAGCAGAGCAGAAGAGAGCCAGGAGGAGCAGAGTCAGGAGGAGTTGCTGCTGCTGCTGCTGCTGGCGAGCGAGAGAGACACAAATGTTTTGGGTGTTGGTTGGGTTGGGTTGGGTGGCTGGCCATTTACCATTTAAATATTAAACGCATTTGAAAAGTTGCACACTCCGAGGCAGAGCCATTAAATGAGTTCCGACAGCCAGGGATGGAAATCAGGATGTGTTACGAGGGCTTAGCATCCAAATGCAAATAAAGTTGCCTGTCCAGAAATTTACCCAAGGCTGCTGCTGCTGCTGCTGCTGCTGGCTGAGGCTGTCCTCATCGATTTACAGAGCATTCAACATTGCTGGTCGCATTGCTGGTGCCCTGGCTGGCTGGCTGGCTGGCTGGCTGGCTGCCTCCCCACATCCTTCAGACACACGGACCCCACCACACCACATCACATTCGCTGGTCCCATAAGGGCCATCCTGGGAAACGGTGTGCGGGGGGAGGGACTCTCAGTTTTATTTCGCTTCTAATTTGCGCGCTGCCCCAGCAAATTGAAACATTTTGTGCAACGGAAACGAAGTGCAATGACTTCCCCAACCCCAACCCTCCAAACCCCCATTATGACTGTTCTGGGGGGACTTGACAGCCAACTCCTGGGGATGTGCCCACCGTCTACGCTTTTGGCTGCTGCTGCAGCGGTATCTCTCCTCAACGTTGTCGTCACTTTGAGTGGCTTCCACTTCGCTGTGCATCAGCAGGAATTTTGTTCTTTCTTTTTTTTCTGTTTCGTTTTGTTTTTGCCACTTTTTTGCGGACCTTATTGCGGTGGCAAGGGAGCGAGAGAGTCGCCGCGCAACGCCTCAAAGAGTTGACGACTGGAGAGACATACAGCTCATGGCATCCATGGCATGCAGCCGGAAGTTTTTTGGCATATGAAATGTTGCTGCATGTTGCCGGAAGAGCCCGAGACATACACATGTATTGGGCTGGCACAGGCGGGGCAGGGGGCAAGTGTTTTACATTAGCTTGTAGTGGGTAGCAGGCGGCGGTGCCTTAGGGGCCTGCCGTAAAGGGTATCATTTGCTGCATACAAAGTATAGTCAACAGTTTGGCAGATGTTCTCTGGGGTCTTGGGTCTGTTCGTTTTGAACTCTATGCTCTCCACTGAATTTTACATCGAACTAGAAATTCTCCAAGCAATCGTAAATGTTGCCCAAACTATGAGCCATAAAATGATCTATCGAACTGCCCAATCGAACGTGTTCTTCAGTGGAATTAAATACCCCCATAAATTACCCCCCGTTTGCATTGTTTCTATGGCATCTAAAAATCAAGCAAAAATATATTTTAATTTTTAATGCTCGCAGTACACAATTCTCTGGCCTCTAGCCTCTGCCTTTGCTGTCTTCTTTTCTATTGTCTCCCAATAGTTGTTGTTCCTCTTGGTTCTTAGCTAAGAATTTGGATTAGAATGGGTTCAATCAGCGGTGTGTAGTGCCCCCCAGCTATCAGCATTTAAGTGCTTTCCAATCAATAAATTGAGCAAATTACGTGCAAAAAGCTCTCAAGGAGTGGCAGGGAGTAAATCTGTTATAAAATGTTTAAGGATTATCATATTTCCCCCACACACCACCCCACACTTCTTACTCCTGTACTCCTTTGGAGAGTTTTGGGGATGGTTAAGCGGCGGTTTTTGTTTTCGAATCTCGGTTCAGGGCATTTTATTAGATTTTTTGGCCCCACCCACAGAGAGAGAGGTACAGAGGAGAGTCTCCCCCTGCTCACCCACACTTGGGGCAAAACAAATTAATCCTTTTAAGCATTAAGTTCCCATCATCATACTCTCTCTCTCTCTCTCCATCTCCATCTCCTGGCAACGTGTGTGTGTGTGTGGGTAAAGTTTATTTAATTATGCAAAGGAAATTTAATTTTTAATGAAAATTGTTTGAAGTTTTTACACGACGACGACGACGACGGCCCCCAATATCCCCCCACACAGACTCTGACATAGCCACAGACAGTGGGGAACATTTTTCTATAGGGGCAGGCACAGATACACAGCCACAAAAATGTATCTACCGATTTGCAGGTACATTCAAATAAACATATATATACAGATATATATATATGTGTATGTGTGTATGTATTGGTAGTTGTGCTATGATTTATGCCACACCCAATTTCTTTTTTTTTTCTCTTTTTTCTCTTTTTTTGTTTGTTTGTTTGTTTGCATTATTTGTTTCTTTGCTGTGGCGACTCAAATATATTTATTACCTTTAATTAAAAACGCCATTTGTCAATGCGTTTGTCTGCCCCACCCCCCCACTAGCACTCCCACTCCTGGCAGATACAGACACAGATACAGATACAGGTGTACCGGGGAGCAGCAGCAGCAGCAGCAGCAGCAGCAGCAGCAGCAGCAGCATCGATATTATTAATTGCTTTCAATTAAAGCCGCAACACAAAGCACACAGAATTGAATGCCCGACGTCTGACACGTGGCAACAGCGACAGCAACAGCGACAGCGACAGAGGGGGAACCCTGGTTCGTAACCCTCTTCGTAGCTGGGATATGCCGGAGTGCCGGGCTCCCAACCATCAATCAATGTGCTGAACACGATTATATTGCAGATTAACTCATCTTTCGGGGCGGCGGGACACTGTGTGCTTAAAGGGGAATATTCCACTGGCATCTCTCCAGCAGCTCTCCAGGGTCCCGACCACAGATTTCGCACTTCATCTCTAGCCAAAAGACCAAAAGAAATAGTGTTCGGGCACTTGGTCCTTGTCCAAATCTTTTGCCATTCAATTTTCAATTAATCGCAAGCGAAGCAAAACAAAACGAGAGGCCGCTGAGGCACGATTAGTCATTGCTAAATGGCTGGCAATAAAAATGAGATCAGAACAAATAAATTCACTGCTGCTGCCACCTTTTCTTGCGGGTGTCTGCACATCGTTTGTCCTCTGTCTGTGTCCCTGTCTGTGTCCCTGTCCGTGTCCTTGGGCAAGCAACAATTGCTCACGAAGTGAAGTAATGATGTGGCAACGACATCGATGCAAGTACGACCCACCAGCCCCAAGCCCGCACCACGATTTGGCTGCACCTTTGGCCGCAACAATAAATATGTGCGCTGTGGAGGCCACGCAGAGCTGCCCCTTGGATGCAGTGCAGCCAAATGAATTTAGTTAGCTCCTCCCACTCAGCACTCAACCGGGGTCCGGGGCCCGGAGTGCTGCAGCTGCCTGCCGCCCCGCTGGGTGACACACGAAACTTAGTTAGGACCAGGCCAGCCAGCAGCAGCAGGAGGCTGTCGAGGGCAAACAACACCAGAACCCAAGCAGCTACAGGCTGCAGGCTGCAGGCTGCAGGCCGCCCGATGGGTGAAGGGGAAGTTCAAGGTCTGCACAGAGCACAGAGCTCCACAGATTGAAAGCCAGAAGGCGGGGCAGGGGACAAAATCAAATTTTTTGCACACTCATCCGCATGCCCCTCCGCCCTCCCCTTCCCAAGGTACTCACATTTCGGTGGTCCAGCGATGTAGAAGTCCGACGCAGACAGCAGACTGCACTCCGTGCAGGCGCCTATAATACAGATCGAAGACAGACAATGAGCAGGGGAAAAAGCAGCAAACACTTTAAATAACGAAATTAATGGATACTCGATTTGGATTCCAACGGCGACGCGGGGGCAGGGCCGCAGGGTACACGAAACGTCGATCAAGAGAGAGAGCGAGAGAGAATATATATTCCAGATTTAATTTAATATTCTACTAGCAATTTAATTGTGCTCGCCGGACGGAAGCTTCGAGCAGAAGAAGAACGCGGAAATGCCGATCGCTCGATACCTGACACTTGACAGTCGAATAGATATAATAAGTCTATCGATACATCGAATACATCGATACATCGAATACATCGGTCAATGCCAGGAATTTAACTATAACGATGTCCCCTGGAACTCCAAATAATATTGTATATAAATAATATAAATAACAATTAAATGCAAGTGGGAGAATAATGCGCACAAAGCGCACATCGGATCGGCGTCCCACTACCAACGATCTGGCAGCCCCAGATCACTCGATTTTCGTTAGTTTTCTGCACGTTTGTCCGTTTCCAGAATGTGTGTTTTAATATTCAAAGATATAAAGATATATTCGAGCCGTGAAGTGGCGCTGATCAGTCAGCAGACTGTGTGCCCTGCGTCGCCAATGGAATCCAGTTCGAGTATCTATTAATTGTGATATTTTAAGTGTTCTCTTTATTATTTTTCGCTTACTTATGGCCATCTCCGATTCCTATTTTAGCCTGCACGGAGTGTTCATCTGCAGGGTGCTTCGATGGACCAGCGAAAAGTGAGTACCGGCCATAGCCAGCCGCATTTGAATATAAACAAAGCATAAAACAGTTGTTAACTATGTGGTTCAGGCTTAAATTAGAATCTTTAAGGTGTGGCTGGGTGGCAGACACATCGCACCCGTTGCTGGGTCCATCGCAGGGAGTGGAACATTGTAGAGACGATTAAATTCTAGTAGCGATGCCCCGCCATAGATGCTCCATGGCCAGGGGGACATTATAAAGGCGTCGGCGTGGTGATGCCCCCGAAACAGCCAGCCAGCCCGAAAGGACAGCAACATTGTAACTGCCATCGATGTGGCATCGTGGCAGTGTGGCAGCGTGGCAGCGTGGCAGTGTGCAAAATGCCATCGCAAGCTTGTGGTGCAACAGTGTTGCAATCGAAAGGACTTGGCCCCCTGCCACCAGCAGCTGCGTGCTGCCAAGTTTGTTGTTTAAACTATTGCAACTTGCAGCATTTTTGGTGCCGCTTGTGCTGCTGCTGCTGCTGCTGCTGCTGCTGCTGCTGCTGGTGTTGCTGTCACCGTGTCAGCGGCAGATTTTTGGGCTGTGAATTATGTGCGTGGCACGCACAACGAACCGCAGGCACGCACCGTCGCTGCATGGCGCACTCTTCCTGCTGCTTCTTCGCCTGCCACAAAAGAGTTGCCACAGCTCTCTGCCACCTACTGCCCGCAAATTCAATTAGATGAAGCATTTTTCGAACACCAACAGAAGAAGAGGCAGCAGCAGCAGCAACAGCAACAGCAGCAACAAAAGTGCCATGACGACATTTGAAAGGGAATAACCCCATATGTGGTATGCCACAAAAGGGCGGCTGCCTGCCAATGCCAAGGAGCTGGTGGCCTATCGCAGCATCAGAAATCTTAAAGCCTTTTGCAGCTTTAAGAGGCAGCTACACCAAGGCACATGCATCCATCTACGCCACAGAATGGCGACTAAGCGATACACTTCGATACAAAGTGAATATGTTTGAGCACTGCCTACCCCCACGATAGCGATAGCTAAAGCTTCTGCGATGCTGCAGATATTTTTTATTCATTATTGAATTTATAATACCAAAAGCCACAGCACTCGCGCGCTTCTTCCCTCGGTGTTTGTTTGCTTGTGTTCCTCTCCCAACAATAAACAAAAGTTTATGCATCTAATTTAGTTGTGAATGTTGGCAAGTAAATTGAGGCAGCAGCAGCAGCAGCAGCAGCAGAATCTTGATGATGCATCACCCCAAAACTGGGTAAAATGAGAGCTTCAAGTCCGCTCCGCTCTTCATCAAGTTGCTTATCCGGTACTCTGGTGCTCCCAGTTCTGGCTCCAACTCCAGCAATGTCTTTGGCTGCTAAACTTAATTAGTTTGGCTGGCAACAGTGGCAGTGGCAGTGGCAACGTCTCCAGCGACGACGCGGGAAGCCAACCGCATGCTGGTTGCCCCCCATGCCATGCCCCATGCCACCAGAGTTTGCTTTATTGGGGAAAAACGTTTGTCTTCCTCTTACTTGCGGTGCAGCTCGTACATGCAGCACACACAGCTCGCAGCTCACACTCGCAGCTCGCAGCTCACAGCTCGCATTGTTGCCAAACACCAGAAATGCAATAAGCCAGACAGAACAGCAGCAACAGCAGCAGCAGCAGCAGAGAGCATCCCACTTGAGAGCGTGATTTCATCAGGGGAGTAGCAGAGCCCATGGCTGTAGTTTTTATTGAAATTTCTGCTGCCAGACAAATGCACATTAATTGCTCATCTTAACAGCGGATCAGGGGATATATGTACGGATGGAATCCAGCACGCAGCACGCAGCAACACTGTGGCTCAGGTCAAACTTTAAAGACAGCCTTAAACAGTATACGAAAGAAAGAAATTATAGAAAATATTGTTTTTTGGCCCTGCACTCGGTGGGAGATGGAACAGCAAAGAACTTGGAACTTTTGCCGTGGAATTAATAACAATATGATGTTGTGATATGACATACAACTCTCTGTGTGTGTGTGTGTGTGTGTTTGTGTGTGTGTGAAGCGCAGCGTGACTGCTTTTCTAATTAGGTGCGAGAGTTTTGCGGGCCCGCGTGCAACACTGAAACTTGAGGCATCCAGCAGCAGCAGCAGAATGCTGAGAAGTTTACCGGCTACCACTACAATAACATCATCCCACACACACACACACACACAGCTACAATAGCATCCTGGGGCGCCACACATTCTCTTACAGACACCTCACGAGTGGCCAGGGCCAGGGCCAGGGCATGGGTAGCACACAGTGAAGGCACAACACAAAGGGAAAGCCACTTGGAAGGCCACTTTGGGGGAGTCCAAGCAGCCGAAACTCAGGCACTGGCAACGATTGAGTGATGCTTGAAATATTCAGCCACAATCAAGCAGAAATTACAAAAAGAATGAAATGAAATACCAAGGAGGAAGGAATTTGCCTAACAATCTGAAGACTTAAACTTAAATAAAGTCAAAGAGAGAGAGAGAGAGGCACTGATCCATGGCTGATATTCTCCATAGATCTGCAAACCAAGCCAAATAACTATGCGGATACGTAATACGTATACGTAATAGTCTACCCATAAAAACTGCCAAATGGCTTGCCAAAACTCTTCTTAATCATTAGTTCATATATGTAATATCTGGAGTTAATATTCTTTGAATTATTAAGCAATTAATTAACCATTTAACTCAACAAATTGCAGGCTTAATTTCTATTGGAAAAGCCTCTTTGCTGCATGGCCTTCTGTAGCCACGAACAAAACGTTTTAGTGCAAATTTAGACATGCTAAAAAAACACTCAAGTATTGCTTTTATTACTTAATATACGCTAAAAATATCGTAGATATTAAATCCAAAAAATTGTCTTAATTTCCTCTTGTATAAAATTTCATAGATTTGAGACAAAATGTTGCCTCATGGCATATCAGTTCCAAAATGTACCCCAATTTAATTCTCAGTACAGAATGATATATCTAGTTTATTTTTTTAAGATTTATTTTGCATAGAATATACCTAATTTATTAGAATTTAATTCTTTGAACATCTCTGGGAAGCATTCTCTGCCTTAAAGTTTCTGATATTTTCTTGTTCCATTTTCTTGAACATTTCTTGTGCTCTGGCATTTATCTGCTTGCTGGTTGGAGTATCTGTTCATTGGCAATCCTCACTGTATGCCCAAAAACCTACTCTTACACATATAACCGCCTCCCGCTACGTTGTATGCCACACACACACCTCACACCTCACACCCCACCAGAAGCAGCAGGAGCAGCAGCAGCAGCAGCAGCAGCAGCTCCTCCTTCAAGGCCTCCTTCTGTGTGTGTGTGTGTGTGTGTGTTGTCTCTGCCTCTGCCACTGTCTGTGTCTGTGTGTATACAGGTTAATTGCGTGTAGCTCACCTGGCATTAGCAGCGCTGATGTGGCTAATAAACTTGCCGCCGCCATCGCAGCGCCAACAGCAGCTACAAATAAGCGGAGGCAGCCAGCGGGAAACACAAAGAGATTGCGTAGAGATAGAGATAGAGAGAGAGACAGAGGGAGAGAAGCAGAGTGTGAGGTGAAAGGATGCTGGCAAAAGTTAGAAAGACAAAAAAAAACACACACACACATGGACTGGGATGGAAGCAACCAAAACAGGAAATGGAAGCCTTTTGGGTAACGAGGCAATAGATACTCTTGATTTTCGTATCTCAGAGCGTTTACTCCTATGGCAGCTATATATAGATATACCTATATATATATATAGCATGCCGATTAGCTGCTCACTTGCCAGAGCTCTCCAAAGGGCACAGTTTCAACATTCTTTTTACTTAATTTAATTACCAACAAAAATAACTCATCCTCCCGCCTCTCGCCGCTGGTAACTAAAATTGTAAATAATCTTCCTTTGTTTTTATTTTTATTGTTTTTGTATGATAAATGAGATCTAAAAAGGAATATCTTCTGCAGGAATAAAAAATAAAAATTAAAAATAAAGCTGAGCAAATGGAAGAAAAGTAAATGCGGAAAAGTCTGTAACATGAAAAACGTTTTCAGTGCTTGGAATATTGTATTTTCCTTTTGCTCTCTCTCTCTCTCCATTTCTCGCTCTCTCTCGTTCTCTCTCTTGGGGGCAGACGATCGATCAGTGACCCTGGCATTGATCAGTGCACTCCCTGATTGCTTGCTTGCTTGATTGATTGATTGAGCAGCGCTTTCAGCTTTCAGCTTACTTATTCCCACAACGAC